AACGTGTTGTAGATTGAGTGGAAGGGGCGTAGATTCATATATCTGGCCCCGACTAGATTGGGGGTCATTGTTGATTGTTTGCCTGTTATTCATTCATTTCAATCGTATTTTATAGGTCTATGTTTTTCTCTTTTTTTTCTTTCTTTGATGCCCTTTTTTATGCTTTTGATGCTCAGAAAATGCTTAAAAGATGAATGAAGAAATGCTTAAAATGTGGAGATATTTGATTCCCTTCAGATTTGAAAGTAATATTAAGAAGGTTAACTAATGAAACTCAAGGAGTTGAGAATATTTTTGAAAATAAGAGAAGGTCATGGCAAGTTTTTATCTTATAAGGATTTAGATGTATATGGGTCATGATTAAAACTTTATTTGATCGAACGTAACAGTACTTAGAAAAGAACAATTGCTTGTGGAAAATCACCGATTGAAACCATCTTGTTTGAGGCTAGCTTGTGTCTTGAGTCTCGAGCAATGTGATTACTGATTAGGGCCTTGAGAATCTGGTGTAATTAACTTCTGTTGAGCTAATTCTACAGATGTCTGAGCAATTTAGTTTGCCTAGTCCACACTATGAGATCCAAAAATGGGGCACCAATTCTTTTGCTGTTCCAACAGATTAGCTTTCTGTTTTGATAATCTGACTAGTCTATGTTCAATTCGAGACAGTCACTTAAGATTGTCTCCGCCAAAAAATCATTTAGCTTGTTGCTTGATCTGTATCTCTCTGTGTGTTTGGACGTGTGTGTAATAGCAATTGTCGAGAAGTGCAAGTGATATGGTTCGTTAGTACTTTACCAGTTCAGACAAAAAAGTGATAAGGTTAGTTAGTTGGTAGAGTTATATTTACCTCGAAGCAGATGATATTTGAATTTTTTTTTTCTTGAGAATTATGATCTTTGAATTTACTTCTTGTCATGATCATGATTGCTTAAGTTGTTTTCAGGAGTCTGTTCGATGTTTTTTCGGTTGTATCACCATATGTTACTTCTAGTGGGTTCAATAACAGTATATTAAGTTTTAATAACCCTCTAGTTTATTCAGCGGTGCTTGCCCTTGTATTGAACTCTCTTCTCTTTCTGCCAATTTACGGACTTTATGTAAACAGGTGGTTATGGAGTCGCCACTGGCGGACCATTCGCTTGGGGGCTGTGCTATAACAAGGAAATGAGTCCTAGCCAAGATTACTGTGATGACTTCTTCAAGTTAACCTACCCATGCTCTCCTGGGGTCCAATATTATGGCCGTGGTGCCCTGCCTATATACTGGTAAACGTTGCATTACCAATTTAGATTACCTATTATTTCTTCTTTGGTATCAACACACCACTCAATCTCATTGGGTTCTCTTCTCTGTTATGGTGTTGTTCTTGTGTGCGATTTCACATCAACTTTAGCTGATCTACCAATATAGAACTTAGTTACAGGAGAAAGAAAAAGCCATTTAGCTCATCTGGTCCTTGTCACAGTATCTGCTCGAGCTGATGCCTGTTTCTTTATTTGATTAGGAATTTATTTCATTCGTCTAGCATATACAAGCACTAATGATATGTTTTTCCTTGGGTACTTCTACCTAGGAACTACAACTACGGAACTATAGGTGAAGCACTGAAGGTAGATCTGTTGAATCATCCCGAGTACATTGAACAAAACGCGACCTTGGCATTCCAAGCTGCGATTTGGCAGTGGATGAATCCAGTTAAAAAGGGTCAGCCGTCAGCACACGATGCCTTTGTTGGCAATTGGAAGCCTACAAAGAACGATACTTTGTCTAAACGAGTTCCCGGTTTTGGCACCACAATGAACATCCTATACGGTGACAATGTCTGTAACCAAGGTGATGTCGACTCCATGAACAACATCATATCCCACTACCTTTATTACCTCGATTTGATGGGCGTTGGTCGGGAGGAAGCAGGGCCTCATGATATACTCACCTGCGCGGAACAAAAACCTTTCAATCCATCCTCCACCTCAACTGCTTCTTCTTGAGACTTAACTTGGATTTTCGACAGTCTGCATTTGCTGCTTTATCCTCAACGTTTTTCGCAAAAGAAGCATAATCCAATAAGTGGAGCAAGATCGGCTTGTCCTGCTCCCGGTGTAAACTATGTGTTTGGGAGTCGTATATAAGGATTAAGGATGTCGCGCTTTCTTGTTGTGTCTTATTGAAGTGAATTTTGATCATGTAGTTTGTGCAGTGTTCGGGTTGAGGGTCTATCGGAAACAACCTCTCTACCCCATCAGGATAGGGATAAGGTCTGCATACACACTACCCTCCCCAGATCCTACTTGCGGGATTATACTGAATTGTTGTTGTTGTTGTTTGTGCAGTGTACTTTTAACAGTCTTGATATATAATATGCAATGTGAAAACTTACTCTATTATCTTTTGAACTGTTAAAATGAATATGCAAACAACAAAGGAAAAGAAGATGAGGAAAAAGAGAAGGTTTATTAGAGAGGAAGGAAGTTGTTGACAATAACATACAACTGTCCCTTTCTTTTACCAAGTTAAGACAATTCTAAAAGTATTGTCAAGACATTTTATCCACTCACTGTCCTTTTCTTTTACCAAGTTAAGACATTCAAAAAGGTTGTCAAGACATTTCTTCCACTCTCTGAGTTTTAATTGTTTATGCCACTTTTTTTGGTGGTTTCTCACTCGGTATTCGGTATTCACACTGGGGCCTGATTAAATTCGGATTCGCGCTGGGAAGTCTCAAATTGGAGGGTAAAACGCTCCCTAACAAAGGCGATTCCATATCCAGGGATTCAAACCTGGTTAAGTTGTTTATGCCACTTTAGTAATAACTGTGTTGGGATCAACTTGTACACACATTTTTATACTATACTTACTATCTTTAATTTTTCTTTGATTATTTCACCTATTTTTCTCGGACATTTCATTTTTATATTGTTATTATTTATGCATAGGACTGTGTTAAAATTTTTGGTCATTCTATGTCATGAACAATGAGATTATCACCCTAGAGACTTGTTCAAAGTAAATAATGTCACGAGTTTGAATCGCAATTTGCCAAATTAATAGCTTGTTTGGCCTAGCTTTAAAAATCAGCTTATTTTAAGAAGTGTTTTTTTTTCTTCAAAAGTATTTTGGTGAGAAGTAGTTTGTGTTTGGCTAATTAATTTGAAAAGTATTTCTGAGCAGCAATTAGTATTTGGCCATGCTTTTAAAAATTGTTTGTAAGTGTATTTTTTTCAAAATTGCTTTTCAAAAAAGTGCTTCTGGGGAGAAGCTACTTTTTTTGTTTCTCCAAAACTGTTTCTGCTTCCACTCAAAAGCACTTTTTTCCTCTAAAAGCTTGGCCAAACACCTCAACTTTAAAAAAAAAATACTTCTGGCTTTGAAGAAGCTTGGCCAAACAGGCTATAAGTCATTTTTCCTTATTAACTACTACTATCCTATGTTTCAATTATGTGTCTTTTTTTTTTCTTTTGAAAAAAAGAATACCACACAATTATTCATATCTTATGACTTATGGTATGATAGTCTTGTTCAAGCGTGCACTATATTTTATCAGTACACGTGCGTGGTAATTATGTCCACTAAGGCTTAGACGTATTAAAAAGAATGTATTTTTGATTTAAGACCACGCAATTTTTTAATATTCCTAAACTTTGTGTCTTGTCAAATTAATAAAACACATAAAAATCATGGACGTATATTTTAATAGAAAAAAATTATCTAAGAAGCACCTTCAACGACAGCTATATATTGACATAAAATGTAAAAATATTGTGTCTTTATATTCTTAAAATTTATCTAGTCAAACTAAGAGACATGAAATCGATAAACTATATCATAATAGGTAGTTTATGTTATAAGAAATAGATATCTAATAAAATAGTGGACCTGCACGCTCGACGCCACCACTACCCCAACAATAATAACTAATCCTCAATTCCAACTATATATATATATGTATATATATTCGATTATTATTTTTACATCGGATATATAGTATCTTTTTTTCAAGAAATAAGTATTGGCCCATAAGTTGACCCGACACTACCGTCATAAATGAATAAATAAATAAATAAATAAATAAAAGAGAGAGAATAATAAAATAACTTTCACTGACAGCTAAATATACAAAAATATTTCGTAAAAATAGCACGGTATAGTCAGTTTTCGGATTGGTCATTCAAAAATAGCCAACGTTTACGAAGTCAATGAAAAATACCAACATTTTGCTGCAACAGAGACCGGTCCAGCATAATATACTGGAGTTCGGTGCACCTGTGTATGAACTCCAGCATATTATGCTGGACCGGTATACTTTGCGAACTCTAGTATAATATACTAGAGACTGGAGCACCGATGCTCCAAACTCCAGTATATTATACTGGACAATTATACTTGCTGAAACTCCAGTATATTATGCTGGAGTTCTAATGTACTTATGCTGGAACTCCATCATATTCCGACATACTTATTCTGGAACTCCAGTATAATATACTGCCGTCTTTTCCGGGTTTGAATAGTGTTATCGCTCAGATTTATCTTTATATAAAAAGTGGCTAAATTTCGATTACTTTTAAAACTGGTTTATTTTTGAACGACCAATTGTAAATATGGTTATTTTTGAATTTCTCCCAATATTTCCTATATTCTCAATCATAACCCTCGGCCCCCTGGAGCTCCCTTTCCTCTATCCTCATTCTCAACGTAACAAAACAAACAACAGACTAAAACAAATCATAACCTTCTCTCTCTCTCACACACACACACACATTGTTCTCTGTCATTACCTGTCTGCTTAACTGTATCTTCACTTTATTTCCTCATTACCCAAGAAGAAGAAAGAAGCCGAAGAAATTTTCGTTATTTATTTATCAGGTAAATGGAATAAATAAAAATAAGTCCTTTAATTTCGGTTGGTTTGTATGGCTATAATTATTCCTAATGAGTTGTTTTGTACCTCACCCTTTTGCCCTCTTTTCAATTCTCAGGGTTTCATTTTTATTTTTTGGGGGATCAATTTGAATTTGACTAAATTTCATTTTTATTTTTTCTCTCATTTTCAACTTTCCCAATTCATTTTTGGACCCTCTGGATCTAACCCTTGTCTGAGAAATTTTCAAGATTTGATTCTTTTTGTTCATTTTGTATTGTGGATTGTAATATTTGTTTAATTTGATTGCTATGGATGATAATTTTCACAGGCAAGGGCTAGTGGTAAGATTATATAAATTCCCTTTTTGGGTTTCTTGAAAATATCTGTTTATCTAATTTAATAAAGCTTCATGCTATAAAAGAGGGATTTTATTTTGTATTGGGATCGAGGTGTTGTTGATTGATTGTGTGGTTGATCTCTGGCTATGTGTGAGTTTGCCTTGAAATGTGAATTGTATGTTTGGTTTGATGGAAATGGAATTAACTTCAAGATTCTATTTTTAGTGCTTTGATTTAATGATGGTTTTGTCTAGGTTTAAATTTTGTTTCATTTTTGCCCAATGTGGAGGAATGTAACATTTAAGGGGATTCCTTAGAAGAAAATTAAATTGGAATCATTAAATTGTGACGTATATAGTAGTCTTGCATTGATATCTTGTATCTTTTGATATTAAATTCTGTATCTTTTGCTATTAATTTCATAGTGTTTTGGTGGAGAGAGGTAGTATTTCTGGTTTCTCTGCTTTTACCCTGTTTTCCTTTTTCCGAATAGGAGCTTTTTAAGGTATTCTTTGTTGGCAAGCCTAGACATTTTCCCTTTTTTTGCTTTTTGAAATATCAATGGAGCTCCTCGTGCTTTATTTCTGTTGAAATTGATTTTTGGTTCTGCCGTTCTGGAATCTGAGGGATGCATTCTTAGAGGCATCCAGCAGATTATGTTATTGACGGGTTCATCTGTCTAATATAATTTAGATTTCAAAAATATTGCAAGTACCTTGTAAATTACCCTCCGAACAAGGAGAGAGTTGTATGCCATTTCAATCAAATTATTTGGGAAATAAAGTGGTAGTATGTGTATAATGAAGTATGTTCATTCTTACATTTGAGTTACTGAACAGGCACATGCTCCTCCTCCTGGTCACTTTTCACGGTTGGAAAACAGAAGGGCTGAAGACGATCTTTATTTGAGAAAGAGAGTGAGGATGAGAAGGTGGCTGTGCTGCACCTGTCAAGTAGAGGAATCCTACCCATCAAATGAAACTGAGCACCTTAAAAACCCTGCAACTCATGCTGATGGTACATTATTGCATTTTGTGCTTAAGCTATCTTTATTGGAAAAACCAAATTGCTTTTCTCCTTTGTTGTCTGAAGATGAGTCTTTGCCTCGTCGGTGCCATTTGATTTAGCTGATTGATGTGATCATTTTGTCATTGCATCCCCGATTCCCTGTCACACACTAGAGTACAAATTTAGGATACTTTGGAAATTTTAAGAAGAAATTGAACTTCTCATGGTGATATCTGATTGTGCTCCCTTTATATATATGTATGTGTAATATTGTCTTACAAATCTTTTCTGAGGCATTACGTTTGCCTATTATATAAAAGGGTTGAAATCAATCTTAGTTCGGCTTCCAGAATTTTTGTTTGCATTCAATTTGAGTGAGTGGAGTTAATGAGGATCCTCTTAAATTCAAATCCAACTATGCTAGCGTAAAGGGTATTGTAAGAAGAACAAGGATAGGTTTTTGCTTCTTTTGGAATCTGTAAATGGTTACCAGCACAGCCTTTGTGCTGGGTTTCTTTTATTATAATACATAACTGTTACCTTTGTCCAAAAAAAAAGGAACTGTAGATTATTGCTTCATTAAATTACTTAACTGCCGCTTTCAATATTCATAAGTTTTGTCCCAGACTACAATACAAAATCTTGAAATGATACCAGACTGGCTACACTAAGATATGCTGAAATTAAGATCTACTCAAAATTTTAATGAAAAAGGAGTAGCCGAAGATTCTGATTACAGCTAAATCCTGATGTTTCCTAGCAAGATTAAAAATTTGATCAGATCAGCTTTGATCCAACTTTTGTAATTTGTCCTAAGTAACCTTGTTTATTTATTTTATTGATATTCCAAATTGTGGTATCAGAAACATTTGCTTGAGAATTGTTTATAATGAATATCAGTGGTAGGCCTCTTGATTTGTTTTGTTAATCCCTGTCTCCGAGGAAGTCAGAGGGGATACGCTCGCAATGCAGAAGGAAGATTTCATCGCTTTCCTAACAGATTTAATTTTAAAAAAGAAAAATCTAAAGGACCTAGTGTCAACTTCAAATATGAAATTTGACTCTATGTGCGCGTCTATTTTGGATTCTTTTTGGTTATAAAATACTTTCTTGATATCCTTGGAAAGTATTTCGGACGGTTCCCATGTGCTTGTTTGCTAAGGAAATATCATGTCAAAAGTGAATGCATCCTTACAAAGAACATTTCCCAACTGTTCTATTTCCCAACTGTTCCACTTCCAACCAAGAGGTTGTGAGTTCAAGTCTACCCAAAAGCAAGGTGGGAAGTTCTTGGAGGGAAGGATGCCGAGGGTCTATTTGGAAACAACCTCTCTACCTCAGGGTAGGGGTAAGGTCTGCGTACACACTACCCTCCCCAGACCCCATTAAGTGGGATTATACTGGGTTGTTGTTGTTGTTGTAGTTTATGGGTGACACATAGTCCCAGAAGAAACTTGTGATTAACAACAACAATATTTCTTTTAGAACACTCAAAAAGAAAAGAAGTATGGCATATCTTCCTTCAGTTGAGTACATATATGTTCATGCCACATTGAATCTATTTGTCTGGATCGTTTTAGGACTATTATTTATGGCATGTTTGGCTGTGCTAAATTTCTAGTGCTTCTTAGACAAGTCTCAATTTTCCGATTGGCGAGATAGTTTTGGTTTTAATTAGTTTCCTTTGGTATCTGGTACCAGGATATCAGAACGGGTCAAGAGTACCAGCTCCTGCCAAGGCTGAAGCAGAAAAAGCAATACCAACTATAGAGGTCCCAGCATTGTCTTTGGATGAACTGAAAGAGGAAACTGACAATTTTGGATCAAAAGCATTAATTGGTGAAGGTTCTTACGGGAGAGTATACTATGCTAATCTAAGCAATGAAAAAGCTGTTGCCGTGAAAAAGCTTGATGTTTCATCCGAGCCTGAGACTAATGTTGACTTCTTGACTCAGGTAAAAGTGTATTTTCTTTATGTAATTCTTTTTGGCTGTAATACATGTAAATCCCTCTGATATCTGTTTCCTCTTTTCACCGTAAGCTTGCTAGAGTTTCAAGATTGAAGCATGACAATCTTGTTGAGTTGCTTGGTTACTGTGTTGAAGGAAATATTCGTGTATTAGCGTATGAATTTGCAACGATGGGGTCCTTGCATGATATTTTGCACGGTATGAAAAAAACTTCATGTCTTTGAAATTTGAATGCAAGAGAATTTATTAGCTTGATGGATAATATATTCTCTCTGTATTTTGTATGTTNACTTTGTGTACACGGGAGTTCTCTCCCTTTTGATTAATACAATTTACCTTATCAAAAAAAAAAGCTTCTCGGTGGATGGTATACCCCGCTTTGATCCAACTCTTGTAATTTCTCCAAAGTATAACCTTGTTAATTTATTTTATTGATATTCCAAATTGTGGCATCAGAACATTTGTTTGAGAATTGTTTAAAGTGGATATCAGTGGTAGGCCTCTTGATTTGCCTTTGTTAATCCCAGTCTCTCAGGAAGTCAGAGGGGATATGTTCGTAATGTAGAAGGAAGATTTCATCGCTTTCCTAAAAGATTTAATTTTTAAAAAAAATAAAATCTAAAGGACCTAGTGTCGACTTCAAATATGAAATTCGATTCTATGTGCGCGTCTGTTTTGAATTCTTTTGGTTATAAATGATAACCTTGAAAAGTGCTTCAAGCAAATCCATCTGCCAACTGTTCTATTTTAACTTTCTAGTTTATGGGTGACACAGAGTCCCAGATGAAACTTGTGATCATGAAAAGTAAAGTAAAGTAAAAAGCTCAATGAATATTCCTATTTTTGCTATATAACTAACTCGAAGTTTTTCTTTCACTTCTAATCTTTTGTAATGGACTATCAGATATTCAGTTAGAACAATCAAAAATAAGAGAAGTATGGCATATCTGCTTAAGTTGAGTACATATATGTTCATGCCACATTGAATCTATGTATCTGAATCATTTTTAGGACAGTATTACTTATGTCATGTTTGACAGTGCTAACTTTCTAGTGCTTCTTAGATAAGTCTTAGTTTTCCAATGAGCGAGATAGTTTTGGTTTTAATTAGTTTCCTTTGGTATCTGGTGCCAGGATATCAGAACGGGTCAAGAGTACCAGGTCCTGCCAAGGCTGAAGCAGAAAAAGCAATACCAACTATAGAGGTCCCAGCATTGTCTTTGGATGAACTGAAAGAAGAAACTGACAATTTTGGATCGAAAGCATTAATTGGTGAAGGTTCTTACGGGAGAGTATACTATGCTAATCTAAGCAATGAAAAAGCTGTTGCCGTGAAAAAGCTTGATGTTTCATCCGAGCCTGAGACTAATGTTGACTTCTTGACTCAGGTAAAGTGTATTTTCTTATGCAATTCTTTTTGACTGTGATACATGTAAATGCCTCTGATATCTTTTTCCTCTTTCACCTTAAGCTTGCTAGAGTTTCAAGATTGAAGCATGACAATCTTGTTGAGTTGCTTGGTTACTGTGTTGAAGGAAACATTCGTGTATTAGCGTATGAATTCGCAACGATGGGGTCCTTGCATGATATTTTGCACGGTATGAAAAAACTTCATGTCTTTGAATGCGAGAGAATTTATTAGTTTGATAGATAATATATTCTCTCTGTATTATGTATGTTCTTGCTTACAGGAAGGAAAGGAGTACAAGGGGCGCAGCCGGGGCCAACACTTGATTGGATGCAGCGGGTAAAGATTGCTGTTGATGCCGCAAGGGGACTCGAGTATTTGCATGAGAAGGTCCAACCTTCAATAATACACAGGGATATAAGATCAAGCAATGTACTCCTCTTCGAAGACTACAAAGCAAAGATTGCAGATTTTAACCTGTCAAATCAGGCTCCTGATATGGCTGCTCGCCTTCATTCTACTCGAGTTTTAGGAACATTTGGCTATCATGCACCGGAGTAATGTCTCCCACCTTTCTCTTCTGACTAACCTTTTATATTTGTTCTATTGGTACTCTGTTTCTTCTTTAAATGTTGTACACATGTTTTGCGCTTTTGAGTTTTTCTGAACTCCTCGCTTCTGGTAACATATTGCTGAATCTTGTTTTCTATCTAGCCACTTGAATAACTTCCTCTTTGGTATGATACATTTTGAACTAGGAATATACAACTTAAGTGTAAAAGTGGGGAAATTGAAGCTACTAGGAATGGGTGTGATCTGCGGTAAAAGTTGGCAATAGGTTATGTAAATGACTATATAGTAACATTGAGTCTCTGATGCATCTAACTGATCTTAAAGCATATTTGGTAGAAATTATTGATGAGATTTAATGCTGTTGAAAGTTTTCTAGAATAAGGGCCCGATGAGACAAAGCATCAGTAAGAAAAAGTAAGTTTTAGCCACTGAAATAATATTTGTAGTTGCTAAATGACGCATATACCACGCCTCAACAGGCATAGGAAAATGGTAATGCAGCAGATTTTCCGGGTTTCTTCACTTTATGTGACAAAAGAGTCTACTGGGGCTAAGGAAAGATTTAAATAAGTAAGGTGCTTCTTCGCTTCTGGGGTAAAAAGCTAAATACAACTCAAAAAGGCCAAAGATACTTTAAAATTAAGTTTTGAATATTAAGGTGTAAAAGGCGAAGAGGCTTTCTTGGAAATCCGAAAGCTCATCTTTGCTTTTGTGTTGGTTTCCCTTTTTTATTGTGGATGTTATATTTTTACGTCTATCAAGAGATAATTTGCCACTAAGTTAGCTTGTTATGGGAAAGGAGCTGGTGAAGACAACAGTGTAGCTGATATTTCGAAGTTTTCCAAATATAAACTACTTGTACTGGTGAATTTCATTTTCATGAATTATGGCATCTTTTCTTCCCCACCATACCTATAGTAACATTTAGCATTTGGATATGTTTAGACGGCAAAAACAACTAACCACTTTTGTATATGGGATGGAATGGTAGGATCTCTTGTTATAAAATGTACAAAGATAGTTTGCTGATTTGCTCCTTTACATATTTTCATTTATTGGTATAAATTATAGAACCAGTTTTCTACTCAAGGTTTTGTCTTCTCGCGAATAACCAAATGTTTAAGCTTTTGAGTGAAGGTAGTTTTGTTCTCTCTGAGTGATTCTAGTTGATAATTAAGGTCTTTCTACAAAGTTAGATAACAAAGTTGTGAGATATTTGCTGGAGTTGTTTCGCTGCCGGTTGTTTAACCCGTTGGCATCTCCGTCACCTGCTTTGCTCCTTTATTGGTGTAAAATGCTCCAAAAAAGTTGTTTTGTTTCAGGAGTATTATCTAACCCAAGTATCGTAAAAATAATTACAGATACGCTATGACTGGACAACTGACACAGAAGAGTGATGTGTATAGCTTTGGGGTGGTCTTGCTTGAACTTTTGACCGGAAGAAAACCCGTAGACCATACAATGCCTCGAGGACAGCAGAGCCTTGTTACTTGGGTGAGCATAGCTTCACATTTTTTTCGTGCATTTTTATTCCTTATGTGCTCTTCTCTGCTATATGTTTAGATCCTATCNTACTCGAGTTTTAGGAACATTTGGCTATCATGCACCGGAGTAATGTCTCCCACCTTTCTCTTCTTTGACTAACCTTTTATATTTGTTCTATCAGTACTCTGTTTCTTCTTTAAATGTTGTACACATGTTTTGTGCTTTTGAGTTTTTCTGAACTCCTCGCTTCCGGTAACGTATTGCTGAATCTTATTTTCTATCTAGCCACTAGATTAACTTCCTTTTTGGTTTGATACATTTCGAACTAGGAATATACAACTTAAGTGTAAAAGTGGGGAAATTGAAGCTACTAGGAATAGGTGTGATCTGCGGTAAAAGTTGGCAATAGGTTATGTAAAATGATTATATAGTAACATTGAATCTCTGATGCATCTAACTGATGTTAAAGCATATTTGGCAGAAATTATTGATGAGATTTAATGCTGTTGAAAGTTTTCTAGAATAAGGGCCTGATGAGACAAAGCATCAGTAAGAAAAAGTAAGTTTTAGCCACTGAAATAATATTTGTAGTTGCTAAATGACGCATATACCACGCCTCAACAGGCATAGGAAAATGGTAATGCAGCAGATTTTCCGGGTTTCTCCACTTTATGTGACCAAAGAGTCTACTGGGGGCTAAGCAAAGATTTAAATAAGTAAGGTGCTTCTTCCCTTCTGGGGTAAAAAGCTAAATACAACTCAAAAAGGCCAAAGATACTTTGAAACTAAGTTTTGAATATTACGGTGTAAAAGACAAAGAGGCTTTCTTGGAAATCCGAAAGCTCATCTTTGCTATTATGTTGGTTTCCCTTTTTTTATTGTGCATGTTATATTTGACATCTTTCAAGAGGTAATTTGCCACTGAAGTTAGCTTATTATGGGAAAGGAGCTTGGTTTTTGTGTTTGTGAAGACAACAGTGTAGCTGATATTTCGGAGTTTTTCAAATATAAAATACTTGTAATGGTGAATTTCATTTTCATGAATTATATCATCTTTTCTTCCCCGCCATACCTTTAGTAACATTTAGCTTTTGGATCTATTTGGACAGCAAAAACAACTAACCACTTTTGTATATGGGATGGAATGGTAGGATCTCTTGTTATAAAAATGTACAAAGTTTGCTGATTTGCTCCTTTACATACTTTCATTTATTGGTATAAATTATAGAACCATTTTTTCTACTCAAGGTTGTCTTCTCGCGAATGACCAAATGTTTAAGCTTTTGAGTGAAGGTAGTTTTGTTCTCTGTGAGTGGTTCTAGTTGATAATTAAGCTCTTTCTACAAAGTTAGATGACAAAGTTGTGAGATATTTGCTGGAGTTGTATCTCTGCTGGTTGTTTAACCCGTTGGAATCTCTGTCACCTGCTTTACTCCTTTATTGGTGAAAAATGCTCCAAAAAAGTTGTTTTGTTTCAGGAGTATTATCTAACCCAAGTATCGTAAAAATAATTACAGATATGCTATGACTGGACAACTGACACAGAAGAGTGATGTGTATAGCTTTGGGGTGGTCTTGCTTGAACTTTTGACCGGAAGAAAACCCGTAGACCATACAATGCCTCGAGGACAGCAGAGCCTGGTTACTTGGGTGAGCATAGCTTCACATTTTTTCATGCATTTTTATTCCTTCTGTGCTCTTCTAACTCCTCTATTTTCTCTGCTGTATGTTTAGATCCTATTCTTGATGTATAATTGCTTCTTTAAATTTGTAGGCTACCCCGAGACTGAGCGAAGATAAAGTCC